TAGACCGATTTAGCTGATCTATTTTTTCTTTTTTATCAGAAGAAAATTCTTACGACAATAAAACTTCTGAAAATCCTACGGGAACGTGAGAAAACGGGACTGCGCGTACGAAGTCGCGGGCAGAATCTAGCACTCAATATTTATTACTTAGGACCGAATATTAAAAGGCTACTCAATTGTAAGTTCTACTTGAATATCGTTGAGCATGCATAGGTTGATGACTGTTGATGAAACGAATGAGGAATCGTAGCAATTTTCGGGTGCGTGCGCGCTAACTATTTACTCTGTTGGATAGTAATAGGGTGATGACTAATTTTTATTTTAATGTTTTTTATGGCATAAGCCGGTAAACGAGTAGACGGATCACCTGATGATAAGCAATCGGCGTCGCCCATGGACACCTGGAACACCAGAGGCGTTACAAGTGCGTTACCGGCCTTTTGGAGATTTGGAGTTTGAGGATCGTTGGGAATTCGGGGATTGGGGAGATTGGGGACGGGGAGGATAATTAGGCCTCCGGTAACCTCACTGACACGACGAAACACACCGCAAGCGTTGCTTCACGTCGGTTTTCTATGAGGCCGTGGTATCACTCCGATCTCTCTCTCTCTCTCACTTCGTGCCGAAGCATGGCTCTCCCACACTTCTGTCCGTCTGGTAGATCATTTTTAAACATTAGACACGTGTTTTTTATTTTGTTATGAAACAAATAGATACTTTCGGCGATATATTGATTTGAAATATCGCGTGACATGAGGAACTTATCTCAATTCAGTTTAAATATTATGGTTCTCGGCTTAATCACGTAACTGTTCGACGAGGAACTCGACTAGTCTCAAGCCATTCTAAAGGCTCCATATTCATGAAATCATGAGCAGCATTCCGCGACACACGACACGGCGAGCGGGCGCGAAAAGTTATAATACAATCTAAAATTATGAGTTCAGGATTCAACGATATCAAAAAAGACATAGTTTGGGATTTTACGTTGCTTCTTTTTTCTAAAGTCATGGAGTTTGATTGACATGCTGCTAGCGTAGGAGCTTTATCACTATAACCCGGACCTCACAGATAAAGTCCGGGTCCATTGCAATCTCACATGCTTTCATTGCGTCCCTCGTAAAACTTGGGTGGGTTAAAATCCTATGTTACGATCGCAATGCTTGTTATCTGAGGAGTTAGAACTATGCTATACGGACTGTAGGTACCACTAAAGGGACATTTAAATCCTTGAAATCGAAATAAATTCATTTCGTAACAAATATAACCTAAGCACTGAATACAATCTGACGACATTTGTTACAGTCGTACAGTCGTAGAATATATCTTAACAAAGACTAATTCTAAAACCCAATTTTGAACCAGAAGTAGGTTACGCGGACTAAGTCGAGAGTAAAAGCTATTAACTTGTCGAGCACCGTCACTAAAGACACAATTAAAGAACAATAGGTTGCGGTCACCGGTGACCGCTTGGTGTTTGACATTTTAAAAACATATTTTTAACTGACTTCCAAAAAGAAGGAGGTACTCAGTTTGACCTGTATTTAATTAGTATGTAATTGGCTGAACCGATTTTGATGCGGTTTTCAAAAAGGTGTTTGTTAGGTACACTTAGGGAAAGGTATTAGTATATTAATTGACCGACTTCAAAAGTAGAGGGGCTTGAAGTTGGTATTTTTAAACGTAGTTTATACAAGGTGTAGTTTTGAAACTGTGGCATTTCTCGGGAGTATGTCATGGAAGTCATAAAGTCACAAAGTTTAGGGCCAATAGTTAAAAATACGGCTTTAATAAATCGTTTAAGTTCGACAGTATTTCAGATCAAGCGTCAGCAATGTTTCTTATTGGAGTTTTATGGAATTAGGAATAATATCAATTACGTGTTTGAGTTTGTGTGTGTTAAGTCGAGTTATAAAGCTAGTTATAAGACGGCGGCGTGTAGTTCGCATTTACGGATTTCCGTAATTTACATAAAAATTAAAAATATTTACCTACAATTTTTTTTATTGATTCGGGCTCAGAATCGATAGCCGAGTTACCTCCTAGAAAATGAAGCGGCTTTAAAACAACACCATGTCTAGCCATTACTGAAATTTATTTATTTATACAGTTAGGTAATGTATATTTATGTGAAAATATCCCATACATAATAATATGTAGGTAAATCTATACATGTCCTATAATATAACAAAATGAATCGCTGAATGTTACCAATAACATTCTGCTATTCATTCGCGCACATCTCGAAAACAGCTGAACCGATGTCGCTAATTGTTTTTGTTGTGTTTGTTATTGTTAGGAGAAGGATTGTATGTAAAAAAAAATCTAAGGCGAAACTCAATTCGCGGGGCCTGCTAGTACGTACGGTCATAGGTCATGTTGGAGCTGATGCTCTTGTCTTGATTACTGATAATCTTGATAAATAAAACTTGTTGAAATATAGAAATTTATTAAAACAATACTTGATATTAAAATGACTTGTGTGCACACTTGTACGGTCAATCGCGAACTGGTCTAATAAGTAAAGCGTTGAATGCGCAAAGAGTAAAATTGCAATTATACAAATTCATGTACTTTGTACAGGTCAAAAGTCCACTGCCACAGTAAGACTACTATCGGTTGCGCTGCAGCGCTTAACACACATGCACACGCATATTTTTATCCGTGTGGGTACGCGTGCGTGTGTTTATGCGCATTAATATGAAATTAATTACGCATTGCCGTGTGAACATCACGCACGGTGGCAGTGGACTTTTAACCTTTGACTGTACGAACATGTTATCAACAGCTAAAGGCGGGCGTGAACGTAAACTTAACAGCCGGTTATACTTAGGTTTACCTACTTTCGAGAAGCAGCTAAAGTTCGATATCATGTTAGTTGCGTCGCAATATTCCATTTCAGCGGCTGCCGAGCGATGCATTTAGCCGTTTATCAAATCTTTTTAATACAACTGGCTGCCGCGCAACGTGTCGCGGGTCCGATTCCCGCACGGAACAACTGTTTGTGTGATCCGTACAATGTTCTTCCGGGTCTGGGTGTCATGTGTATGTGAACTTGTATGGTTGTAAACACACCCATTATACAGGAAAAAATCCTAGTGCAGTTTAAAAAAAACAATATGTAAACGGGTAAATAATAAATGCAGAATAATACGGTATACCTAATCATAGTACAAGCTTACAGGACAAGATTTGATTTTTGAACATTTGCTTTACACTTCACACACACACTTACACATCTTGCAACAGAATTTTGGATACAGAGGCCTTAGTACTAGTTTGTTTTACGTTTAAAGTATTCGTAACGAGTACGCGTTCGGAGCTGTGATTGGTTGGTTCATTGGCGCCGGCCAATCAGAGTGCCGAACGCGTACTCGTTTCGAATACTTTAAACGTAAATCAAACTCGTACTAAGGCCTCTGATTGGCCGGCGTCAATGAACCAACCAATTAGAGCGCCAAACTTTAAACGTACGAATACTTTAAACGTAAAATAAACTCGTACTAAGGCCTTAGATATCTTCAACCGGTTGAGCTGAAATTTGATATTCACGTTTAGTTTCCAAAACCATAAAAGCTTAGTTGCATAAATAACCTGATTAACCTGAGCAATTATACTTTCGAACCGTCTGG